TTACAGAAGTCAACAAGCCACAGAACAGGATCTGATCTTTTGATCTCAGAATATCTTCGGAACTGCCTCTACATATTATCCAACTTGGCACCAAAACTGTAATTAAACGAAAATAGTGGGCCTCTAATAAATATTCGAAAATCATCTCGTGCAGTCGTCTTTCAAGGGATTATAGCTACTTTCCATGTCAAGAACCCACGACTGATCCTACACTGCTTTGAATTGGTTCTGGTGGACAACAAAGGCGTGGAGAAAGACAGGAAAATCGTACCACTTTCCACACTGTACCTTTTCAGCTGATACTATCTGCAGAGTTTTGCGTAAATAATCACAAATTAAAGTAAAAGCAGCACGAGTCTCATTTTATGGAACACATCTCTGGCTGGGTGTCTTTTCCCCGACTGTCAGACTCTATACCTGTAACAGTTGTCAATAATAAAACCGGATGTTTATAATAAAGCGGAGAGCAATTAAATGAATAAAAATCTGGTGGATTCACTGTGATTGGCTTCACGCCAGTTGGGGCACTCGTGTGCGTATGGAAGAATAAACTGCTGGCTTCCGCAAGTTGAAGACAAGGGCGGGCAAGAGTTTCGATACTTGGGAATCCAAATATCTTCACGTGTTGGAAAATTACCGATTAAACGCACGTGAAGTGTGAACTTAAGTGACTTCGTCACACACAAAATATCTCCTGCGACTACAATTTCAGTTCCATCGGTATCACAACCCACTCGTATTTCAAGAGGATCCATCCTAATGGTTTCCTCCCACGTCTTCTATCTTCCTAGCGGTTTCCCCACCAGAAATCTTTATTTTTCCTCCAATCCTCCCACTCGAGGGGCATGCTCAACCTAAAGTTATTTCTTGATTTCACTAACATAGCAGCATTATGTGACCATTAATTTGCTTGAACAACTTCGACGGTCATCGAAAAATAATGCACATAGTTTCATGAAACAAATTACTTACAAACGCTGTTCTTAAAGGATGCCATTCCTTTTGTATTGTAATACAATTTGGAAAGCTCTACACTCTACTACTGACATGAAATTTGATGGAAAATTAAAATCATGTTTACAAATAAACTGAAAATTTAAAAAACCCCATTAATTTGAGTTGAGTGAATTTGGAAAAATCATGAAGTACTAACTACACAATTTGTCTGTGAATGATTAGGTAAAGAAATAGGATTATTTTCCCTGCCTGTGACCCAACTATGTGTGACCTTGCTAAGGATGGGAAAGAGAACATCATTGTACTGCAATAGAAAGTTTTAAAGGGAATTCCTTATATAACACAATAATTTCTGACACCAAAGACCCACTGTCATCTAAGACATCTTTGCTGTAGCTGAATCTTCTATGTCTGTTTCCCAAATATTAACAACGAAATTCAATGACGTTACAATAATCCTACTATTGGTTCACAGAACTCTGGTTACACAGCTTTACAGACAGTAACTGTGTGTGTGTGTATGGAAATGTTATACATACAATTCAGTTCTAAATATATTTACAATGTCAAGTCCACAACAAAGCAAATTAATTCTTTGGATATCCAAAACACAAATCAGAAATGCAACTTTTGTCAATATACATCGTTAATGGCAAAAAATACAGAACATAATATTTCAATTTAACACCTGTGGCAACGACTGAAATTGGATAAACTTAACTACGAACCGAAATCCATCTGCTACTGGCAACATTAACCACTTCTGTTATCTAACTACCCTCGGGCATGTTACTAGCTTTAAAACACCAGCACAGATTCCTACAATTCGCTCAAAATATAATCAGGCAACTTTAATATTTTATATAACAAACTAGTAATTCAATATCTGTAATGAGTATATGAAGAGCCATTTTGATAAATACATTCTTATAAAACATTTTGTACATTATCAAAATTGGGACTGGTAAACCCGATGTACCAAAGTTCCAATTTCTTACATTTCTTAAAATAAAGTGTTGCTAGATTTGTTTAAACTAGCCTGCAACAAGAACTGATAACCTGAGCACAGATGCAACCATCTGACAGAACATTCTGCTTAACCCAGCATTCTGATAAAATCAGACTTTCAGGTTGCAGAACACTTTTTACTGTCACTTCCCTTGACCTAACAAAACCAGTTGTTAAATGGAGCCTGCATCAATTCACATGTGCTCAAATAAAGCGTGCCTATCTTTCTACTCCACTCCAAAAACATTCTAGCCAGCCACTATAAATTTAAGACAAATTATGTGAAGTAAGCAAATGATGTCATATTTCAATGTTAGCCTTCCTTTCCAGCATCCTTTTTTCATATCACAATCACAGTATGAAGACCTCTGCTCTTTCAATTGATGATTACTTACTAGCTACTTAAAATGACTACCAAGACTTCAGTGTGATATGGTAACCTACTTTTCAAGACAACTGGCAACCCCTCTAAGAACCATCTGTCTTCCTAAATACACGACTTTAATTGCATGAAGAAGAAAAAAAAACTGATCATAAATCTGATGTGTCAAAAATGTTTCAACAAGTTTGATCTTTCCTTAGCAACACGTTTTAGCAAAATATGGTACATAACCAACATCTTTATAATGTGAAGTGAACATCCTTATCTACAAGTCTAATTTTTCTTTCCAAACTGCACTAATAGTTCATATCTGTGGGAAAAAATAGTACCCTCCCTCTCCTACTTCATAACATTGTCTTAATGACAATGGAAACAACAACGAATATAAGAAAATTAGACATCCTATCCACATTCACAATTTTTACTTCATAAACTGAAGCAGTTCAAGACTTAATTATAATTAAATCTTAGACAATTTATACTTCAGGCATAATGATGACCTTAAAACTCTGAACTCCACCCCAAATATTGTCAGGGTGATTAAGTCGAGAAGAATGAGATGGGCAGGGCATGTAGCGCGCATGGTTGGGACAAGAGGTGTGCACCGGGTACTGGTTGGGAAGCCTGAGGGGAAGAGACCGCTGGGAAGACCTAGACGTAGATGGGAGGATAATGTCAGGCGGGATCTATGGGAGATAGGAGTTGAAGGAGACTGGATTTTGTTGGCCCAGGACAGGGTCCAGTGGAGGGCTTTGGTTAATTCGGTGATGAACCTTCAGGTTTGGTAAGCCATCTAGTTAGTTAGTTAGTTAGTACTTTCAACAAACAGAACTCTAAAATGTAATAACATTACTTTTCCAATTACAATTTACAGAATGATATAACTCATTCATCTGATTACAAAACCAAACAGGAGTACTTCAAAAAGTCATGATATGTAATATCAACAGATAATTCAGAAGTATGAATTTCACATCTGCATAAGCATATACAAGTAAACCCTAACATTAAATGCCCAACACTTCTCTGGTACAAATTTTGCTTTACTATTTAAGAAGATCTGAGGGCTAAAATGTGTATGGCACAATAAATTCTAAACAAATGTTACTAAGTCATAAAATTGGTAGGTAAGTTGTGTTATGGTTACATGCTACTACACAGTATGAAGGAACATTAAGGCTATTTGAGCACAGCTATTTCAGTCACAAAAAGCAGCAATTGAGCCAGCGTAGCTCAGTCTGTATAATGACTGGCTATGGACTGGACGACTGGGGTTCGATCTCTGATAGGGACAGAGGATTTTTCCTCTGGCCTCTGCATCCAGACTGGTTCTGGAGTCCACCCAGCCTCCTATTCAATAGGTACCGGGATCCTTTCCTGGGGGTAAAGAGCAGCTGGGGCATGATGTCGACCACTCACCCCCATCTAGTGCCAAGGGCAAGAAAGAGTAGGAACTATACCACCTCTCCCTCCAAGCACCTACATGGCATATAGTGGGACAGCTTTACTTTTTAAAAATAAATAATTAATTAATGCACTTAATTAGGATCATGTTGTGATGCATCTGACAGTGGGAGTAGACACAATTTGAAGCTTTCAATGCAATCCAATGCAAGTAAGACTTCTCAGGCAATCAGTTGTGTGACTGCATCTGTATCCATCATCAGGGAAGGTCTGACATCTACCCTGACATGGCTGATTACTCCAGATGTAATTGCTTAAAAATTTGGGGCTTTCCAAAAAAGGAAGTATTAATAACCGAAAAAGTACATGTAAATTATAGTACACACATTCTTATTTCAAAATAAAAAGTTTAAAATTATATAATAAACAACACATGATACTGCATCCACTTTCTGGGTAACAGAAACAGCAAAACAAAAACCCATGTTACAGACAACTACCACCAAAGAATTCTGATTATGTGCTTTACCCCTGATGATATCTAAAATAATGACATTATTATAGGATGGCATACGAAACACATCAGGTGAATATCTGAATTCAAACACAACCTTGTAAATATAAATTCTTCAACCCTGCAAGTCTCAAGAACAGTTTTTTTGAGTTGTTGTTTTCCAGTCCATACCTATTAATGTACTCGAACAGGTAGTTGCAAAACTTTCCACATACTTATCACACCCATCATACGCTTAGTTTGGAATACCAATAACAGTCTCGCAAAAAGCACAGGACAAAGAAACCGATGGGAGCATCCCGGTAAAATTGACACTTGTAGTAGAAAATTAATCACTTCATTACCAAATCACCTGTTTGAATTCTTAGGTCTGTAATACTATCGCTGCCTTCGTTACAAATCATTGCAAACTACTAAAAAAAGTAACGGAAGGTAAATCGTGATGGCAATTTCAAAACTTCAACCCACTTTTCATGAATATGTTAACGTATGTTACTCTCCTTCACAATATATGGAAAAA